TCAAATACCATAGTAAAGTCCATTGTGGATCGACATTGTCATCTACCACCTATAATATCAATATTTATAATGTAAAATGAAAAATCGCGCGCACGCGCGTAGAAATTATATTTCTTTAAAACTTCGTCAAATATTGCTGTGATTAAAAAGAAGTTCAATGAAAAATGTCACGATCAAAAACATTACACAGTTATAAATGTTACATATAAAGTAATCAAGAGATAGTGATCTTTATAAATATATTTTTTTATATATTTATATATATTTTTCACAATACATATTTTATTACATATTATATATTTATTTTAAAGATTGAATACAAAGAAATAGAATTTAATTTTCAGCTATACAAGAAAGTTATATATATATAATTAATTAATTATATCATAAATAATTAATAGCATCACATAAAAATTATACTCATCAAATTCAATATGTATATATACTATATACCAGAATTCTAAGTCAGCAGAAAATTGTTCATTTCATTTTAAGTAAACAATTTTAGAAGTGAACTTGAAATAAATACATAGATAGAATATACATAAACAAGTAGAATAAAAAGAATAGAATAGATTTTAGAGTACATAGAAATACATTCTTAGCAGTTTATTTAAGTGTAACATTCATCAAGGAGCTTTCTAATTTTAATATTAATAATTTAGTTGAAGGAAAATATATATTCTTAAAATAAGATATATTGTATAAGAATATACCATATAAGATTGTATCATTATAAGAATGTACTCTAAATATAGTTGTCACATTTCTCTCACATGCATACTTATTAAGATGCTATATATAAAATATGTATATACCTCCTTGCCATTCACATAAAACACCAAAGTATGTGAAACTCTATCATGTCCTACATTATTTGATGTGACAAGTGCAGATTGAGCAATGGTTTTCTCATCCTGAACCATTTTTGCTTATTATAAAACTCAATGAAACCTGTGAAAGAAATTCTCAAAATTATTTATTCACTAGTATAATATAGTAATATTATTATATACCTCTATAACTATGCTTGACGATAAAAAAATCAAGTATTCTTGTTTTCTTGTTTTTCCAGAATATGAAAATCTACACAAATTTCTATATATGTTCAATATAATCTGACTCCATCTTATTATTATTGGGCCATATGTATTATTGTTGTTGAGAGATGATAAAATAATATACTTTGTACATTTCATTATCAGAAAGAGATATAAAAATGTCTTTTATAAGAAATTTATCTTTTGACAACATATATCTTGTACTTTTTTGTAATATTTGTTACCAAAAAATATATTTCTCTTTGCACAAAAAATTGTCAGATATTGATTTCCAAAATTTTTTTTTATCAAATACATTTATTTCAAATACATACATCTACAATAATATTTATACTATTATTTTTAACGCATAATACTTTTGCAATACATGTTGCTTAAGGAAATTATGATAAGATTGACCTACATGCCTCCCATGGACCTCCAATAGACCTCCAATAGAAAATAATAAAAAGAAAAACACTTAAGTAAGACTTGAAGTTTATGATAGAGGAATTCATGTAAAGTGAGACATTTATAAAAGAATTTATATTATCTTAAATCAATCTATATACACTTATTAAAGTATATTTATTAAAACAATATGCAATTTGTAATAACAAAATAATAATGATATCTAGATATAATAGAAAAAAACTTAAATTACAATATCAAATTGTTTCCTTAAGCTCTTCAAATAACAACATTCTAGACGTAATATTAAGGTAAATTTTACATTTAATTCTTTGTTATTTGAACGATAATTTTATCACCTGTTGCATTCACGTTATAAAAAAGAAACTGACATTTATGGCAAAATTAAATTTTTCATCAAAATCGTCAAAATTGTACTTACTATTTTGTATAGTTTAACATATTAAAAGTTCGCAGCACGATACATACAGCAAATATGCATTCAAAGGAAGGCACTATTATTAAATTATTTTAGAAAGTAGTATTGCTGAGATACTATAGTTAAATTATTTTATAAAATAGAAATAAATTAAAAATGATTATATGTGTACATGTACGTAATGATTATAAATATAGAAAAGTTACCTTTTTTTTGAATTAAAACTTTTAGCTTGTTGAGGAACTCGTACAGAACTGCTCAAACAACAGTGAACGACTGGCCAGTAGGTTATCATTGAGTAAGATATGTCTTGCGTATGTGTGGGTTGCGTTTTATTAGAAAGTCACAATACACGAATAAAGCAATTTGTCCCTACCACATCTTATCCCTCAGCAAACCGCTTCTCTCTTAGGATTGACATTATTGTGTATACATTCCTTTACATTCTTTTGCAATTACAAATTGAACTACAGTTAATCAAGTATGAGAAAAATGCTTCTTAAATTAATTAAACTTTTTTTTCTACACTAATATAATATAGTACAGGATTAAGCACAATAAAATGTTTGCATTATGATATTGATGAAAAGTTTATACAAATATTTATATAAAAGTTTATATAAGTATTTTATATAAGCGAAGTAGGAGATTCTTTGATGATTATTTGAATCATTGTATGTGTTCGATTTGAAAAAACGATTACACAATTTTTTTAAGAATTTCAGAAGAATTCTGATCTTTGTGGAGATATACAATTTATATAGTATAACACGATAATTCTAGAAGATTAGTAATATGATAACAATATTACCACAATATTACAATGGTATTAATTATACATGTATTGTATATGTATTACTAAAGATGTGTTAATCAACTGATAACATTTTCGTCTGATATATGAGCTTTTATTTTTACTTTGCTTATACGTATATATCTAATTATATTTTATTTATATGCAGCAAACAAATAAATGAATTTTATTTAACAGAAAGTAATAAATGATAACAAAGCTTACCAACGCTGAGTCATTCTGTAGAAATTTTTAAACACATTTGAAAAATAATTTTATTTTTATTGATAATGTCATTTTTATTATTAGTAGTATTATTTCACAATTAAACATATAATTTTAATATGTCTTTTCCAGAAATATATTCCTACTGTATTCAAATATATTAATTACTTAGTTTCATAACAAGTAGCGCTAGTATCGCAGGTATTCATTATCAACAGAATTGCGCATCTACCTTCTGTTAGATTGTGGAATCAGTTGAACTTCAGATTGCATGAAAATTGCATTTCATAAGCTTCTGAAACTCTTAACAATATTTTATGTTTACTTTGTTTAGTGAAAAATGTCTTTTCTTAAAGAAAATCATAGTGTACTGGTGGTCCTAGATAGCGAAATTTCCAATAATGACATAATAGACTTTATCAGTGGAATTAAAAAACATCTTAGCAATGCCGAACAGCTGACAACTATATCAACGAAAGAGCTGCAAAAATGTAAGTAATTAAGTACTGTCGTATGTATAAAGTAGATTCATAAACATATGTATTCATATATTCTAAACCATTAAAAAAAAAAATAAATTTTCAGTATGTGCTTTTTAGTCAATTTTATATATAAAAAGTGTTTCATCATTACGCACTAAATTCAATGTTTTCCTTCTCAGGTATTAATTCTTCTTCCTATGATGCAATTATCTCCATCTTTAAACAATCATGTCCGAATCTTAAAATGCTTTTAGAAGAATCTTTGCGAATGTTGAAACCTGGAGCAACATTGATTATTTATGAGTCACTCCAAGAAAAAGAAAATGCACATTCTCTTTACGATGAAAGAGTATCCAACTTAAAATTAATTGGTTTTAAAGTAAAAGTACAAGAAAGTTTAGATACAAAACAATTAAAAGATCTTCTGCTTAATATATATAATAGTACAGATAATATTTGTGAAGTAGTAGCAGAAAAACGTTCGTTTGAAGTAAGTGATACTTTCCTGTTTTTCATAAATCAATGTAGTTTTGATTAGACATACTCTTTATTTTCACCTGTATTATATTTATATAGATTGGTTCTAGTGTAACACTTAATTTTGGTGAAAAAAAATCTTCTAATGTATGGAAACTAGATAGTGCTGTTGATGAAGAATTAATTGATGAAGATGATCTTTTAGATGAAAGTGACATTGTCAAACCTATAACTAATTTGAGAGGTAAGTTGAACACTTTATTCATATACAAATTTTAGTCAAGTACTTCTATTCATATACAAATTTTAGTTGAATACTTCTATTCATATACAAATTTTAGTATGTAGCACAACAGGTAAACGAAAAGCATGCAAAGATTGTTCTTGTGGATTAGCTGAAGAATTAAGTGGGAAAACTGCACCTGAAGGAACTGCAAAATCTTCATGTGGAAATGTAAGTAATTTGTTATACATCTCCATATTGGTCCTCTAAAAAAATTTGACTAAATAGTAATATACATGTACTTTTCAGTGCTATCTTGGTGATGCATTTCGATGTGCTAGTTGTCCGTATCTTGGTATGCCCGCATTTAAACCTGGTGAAAAAGTAGTTTTATTTGAAAGTCAGTTAAAAGCAGACTAGTGAAATATTTGTGAGTTACACACATATTCTATTTTTATGTTAATTTTTTGCATGTAATTATCATAATAATAATTCTTAATATTGTTAATCCTTGTTTTCCACTTTAACATTTCTATTCAAAATACAGGAGTTTTTTCCTTACTTATCTTTTCTACAACTGGAAAAATAGTGTAGTATACATACAGAAACTTAAAAGGATGTAGTATAAAAGTTATGCAATAAAAATATAAAACATATCTATTACTCTTAATCATTTATTACATTTTTATTTGTATACAATAGCGATCAACATGTTAATTATAATAGAATGATACAAATTATTTAGAATCTCGAATAATTTAGATGAAATAAATTCCGTTATAAAAACAATAAAATAATTTAAGTACTGCGTAATATTATGATACGAAACGATATGTGACATATCAACAAAATCATATTTTTCTATTACTGGAAGACAATAAAAAATAAAGATGGTAATTTTGCTATATACAAATTATTCTATAATTTATGAGGGAATATAAGCCCTTCACTATAAATCCACTAACCCTCCTCTGGGGTTGAGTGCTCGAGAAAGGACTACATTCCAAATGTAATATTTAATATATATATATATCTTTGTATCATTCTATTTGAACATATTTTGGAGTCTAACAAATACAAATATGTTGTATAAAATTGTCTACTAAACTTTTCAAAAACTTATCACGCCATTGCAAAGTATGATGGTTTTTAAATTATATTAACATCGTGTACAGGAACAAAATAAATCGCCATATTTTTAATTTGCCTCTACAACAGGAACATTATTCCGTAGCGTAAAATATAGAAGTACATATCGGGGAAAAAAACGTATGTTGTTTAAAATGTTAACTCGTTTATACCATGATAATAAATGGTATATTTTATGTCCTTAAATGAGTTTAAATCAGGACATAGCTGCGCAATATTTTTGCATTGTAAAAGCTACTGCCATGCTACAATTGCCTTTCTGTTTTATCTACTTATTTAATATAGCTTCATTTGGTGCAAAAAAGATATTTTATTATTACTAGTATTATTATCATATATATGACGTTCTATAAACTTAATCTTTAATATTACCTCGAAATAATGTTTAGAAATTATACTATTACAGTTAGTGTTGATAATGTTATGTAGAACTTTGGTATAAATTTAAGTTTATGTTTTAAGTAGCTATACATCGTAAAAAGTTAGCTACCATTTGCTGTGAACAATTGTATAGTTTAAGTACGAAGAGAGCGATAGAAAGTACAATTTGGTATTTCGTTATTGGAAGCAATAGAACGGAAAACATAACATGACAGTTTCAAACAGATTCCTTCATTGTTTTACCATATTTCGCATAAGTTACTTTCACTTAAGTATATAACCATTTGTACTCTATTTCCAAAACCAAGAGATTACACAGAATCCTTCAGTCTGCAAACGAAGTTCAACACATTTGTTGTACTTTCTATGGATGTAAACGTCCACAATTTACATTATAATAATTTTATTATTATTTGAGAATGTAAATGAATTTCTTTTGAAGAATCATTTGCACAAACTTGCACAAATGTTCAAGATAACTCTATATAATTTTTATACAAACAAACAAGTGTAATCGTTCAAAAAACAAAATCACTCATACTAATTTTAAAATAGTCTTTAAAAAATTAAGTTTTTTAAAACTATCCAAATAATATTTTTGTATTTCATAGAATGTATAAGGCAGTTAAAGAAGTTATTTGGTATTTCATATTGTTTTTTCTAAAAGCTAACATTCTCTTTTTTTAGTAAAACAATATGTAATTTTTGTTAATGTAGACATCCCTCTTTTATCTGCAAATGTACAAAATGAAAACGAACATAGATGAATTAAAAAAATTCTCGATTTAATAATTTAATGCTTAAAATTTAAACTCGATGACGATCTTGATTAGAAACGTTCATTTTTCTTTTTCATAAACATAATGCAGTTCATTACAATAATTTTGTAATGAAAATTAAAATTTTCTTTAGAATTGTACTCACAATCAGTGGTACATTGAGCAATCATTAAGCCTAGCAATTAAGGCATGTTTCATGTACCCTTTCGGTTGCACTCAGGATTAATTTACAGAGCTAGTTATTTTGAGATATAATTTGTTATTACTGAAACAGCTTCAAAACAAAAAGTCGAGCAGAAAATAGAAACGAATGACGAATAAATCAGAGAACCAAGAAATATTGAACAAAGCACTATATAAATCTTTTATAAATTTGATGTGTATATAAATACACATATGTATATATATACATATATCTATGTATTTATACACCAAGGCAGTTAAAAAATGCCATAGGACTTAAGATTTCTTGTTCTCTTATGAAAAATATATAATTACATATCTTTAAAAAAAATTGATAACCTTTTAATAACTAGATGAAATAATCTTTATATGAACACAGCCCTACATATTATATGATGTAATAAAAATTAAGAGTCCTCGAAAAGACCTTTGGCTTTCTTTTTTCTGACTTTATCATTGTCATGGTGTTCCCGTACATCTTGTAAGCATCGTTATTAATCATAACAATAATACTACAGCATTCTGCGGTATGTACAGACGTGCAGTTCCGCGAAGTTAAACTTTTGACGGATTTCCTGATAAGTCCATAAAATCTTTGCCAATTGACACGTCCAAATATTAGTTTATGCTACCACGAATTCTCCTCCATATTATCGAGTAAAGAATTCTTCTCCTCTTTTTTAGAAACATTAGCTCCCGACGCTGCCACACATAATTTTGGTTCGAAACATGGCTGTAAAAAATTAAAGTTTAAATGATGTGTACTCGATTAAGCTCGTTTCGAGATTTTGATGATGTCAAGTATGATAAAGACGATGATCTCTGATAAACCATAAAAAATAAAATTAAAAGAAAACATTATATATCAAAGATGAAAAAAAGAATTTAAGAATTAATTTATATGTGAATAAATTATACATAAGAGTTTATATGAAATACTGTGAGTTGCATTCATTAATGTTCAGTACTGTAGTATTTTCATAATAAAGTATTAATTTCTTTTCCATGCTGTTATTCTATAGAAAGGTTACTATTAATTCGAAATGATTTTTATATTTGAAAATTGTTTATTTGTTTAAAATTGTTTAATGTTTTGATAATACAAGGTGTTTCGAACTCATAGTCATTAATTTACTGAATGTTTACTTCATACTGCAGCACTTATTTTGTAATAGAGTATCGCATAATGATTATAAGTTTGTTATAATGAATTTTATGTATATACTGAAGATCATGAAAGAAACGTACAATGTGTAACAATTTATATAAATTCATGCATAGCAGCATATTAATCAGAACATAAGCAAAAGGTATCATAAAATAATATTTATTGCAATAGCATTGAAGTTAGTAAAAGATAAATGTGCAATTGATTTTAATTACTTAAATATTAAGTGCCTCAAATTAATTAAGCATCAACTTTAATACATAATAACAAGCATTGTCAATCTAAAATTAGAGAGCAGCAATATTACAATCTCTTTATTACACAATCTACTTTATTAAGATTCTTGTTTGAATTTTTTCTTTAAGCCCTTAACTGATTCTTTTTCCCCGAATATGTATGTAGCTGCACTACATATCTTACATTTCCAATTTATTGCACACGTATGCCCATATTTAGCATGCACATAAATAATGTTTATATTTTAGCTGGTCGATCACTCACAGTTTCACAGATATTCATGTTGCAGCAGTTCTCTATGGTTATTTCACACTGATTGTCCGGCAATTGTGGCCGAGATGTGAGTGGTGTCACACCACCTTTACTGACGACGAAACGCTTTTTGATGCGTGGCCGTTTTCGGAATTTATTTACATAAAAACTAAGTACGGCTATTACAAGAATAAGTACACCAACGACTGCACCGAAAATTGGTAGCCACGTACTATATTCATTTTCCTCTTTAGCTATCACCATTTGTGCAAGGCGATTCTTTTCGGGACACCTGTTAACAGAAAATAACGAGAATTATAAGTTTTATATTCTTTAAAGTTTAATTGTATTAAATTGGTTAGAAATAATCTCATTCGAATATTAACTCTTTAGCGACATATGTTTGTAGTAGCTTCATCCGTGAAGAAACTATACGAACAAATGCGTGAATGCGATATTTCAGAAAATATACCGTTCTGTTAATTGGACAAGTTATTTATACAAAAACGAATCTTATACATAATAATAACATGACACATGCTACTGTCTATCAGCAAAATGTCAGCAGTCGGATCATTTATTTATTTATTATTTGTCGTCGAAATTGTTAAAAACTTCTGCTATGAAATAAACAATTATTTTAATTAAAGCTGATAGACTAGGAATTCAGAAGTGATTGAAGTCGAAGTAAGGAGGTCGCAGAAATTCTTCAGGTCCTCATAATATTACGAAGTTAAGAATTTCTCAAAAGCAATGTACCTGCAGTGAGCGGTAACGACGCTAGTAGGAACTCGTTCTGTTGCACATATTATTTCACAAAGTTCAGCAGTATTGCCTAAAATCTCGCAACGAGATCCTTGGGAATATTTACATTTACAAACTGGTTTTTCATCTTGGACGGAACATTGACCGTCATGCAAGCAGTAGTCTTTGCAGACGTCTGTTTCACATCTTGGTCCAATAAATGCGTTATTGCACTTACATGTGGGTAATCCGTCACTATTTATACTACAATTGCCTCGGAAGCAGTAATTGTGACAAAGATTTATTTCGCAATACGGTCCAGTGAATCTGAAATAGTTGAATTTGTACTTAGTTTGTATTCTACGAATTCAAGATTGAATAACATATTTTTGAGATATTCAAATTAAGTACATATCTAGCATCAGATACTTACCCAAGCCTGCACTGGCACGTTCCTTCCTTCTCACCCACATGACCATCATTTAGGCAGTGTTTGGACGTCTCTGTGGTCAGTTCCGATTCCTCTGTGCTGGTTATCAAATTATTATACGACCTTTCGTCAAGCGACAAGTTCGTCGGGTTAGTATTTTGTGTTGTATTCGTATTCACCGGGCATTCTACTTTGCCAACGTTATCACGGGTTACGATCCCAGCTGGATCGGCATCGTGAGTTGATTGGTAGGAGCGAAACATTCTTGGCTCGTCAAATTTAGTGTCTTTTGGTATTGTCCAAACAGCTCTGTGCACCAGATCGGACCAATATATCGAGTTATGATCTAACGCCAGGTACACTGGTTGATGACGCTTAGGGTGAACCAATAGTTCACGCTCGGAACCATCGAGATTGCTGCGCTCGATTTTTATTCTTAGGCCTTCTGCATCGTCGATCCAATATAGCTTCTTGTTACTGTGATCTATAGCGACAGCCAGTGGCTCGTATAAATCCTCTTTGATCACTGTTACTCGATTGCTTCCGTCTAGATTCGACTTCTCGATACTTGGATTTGTATTATTACTATTTACCCAGTATATGTGACTAGAAACAACGTACAATTATAAGACATTCAAGTTTCATTTTATATCGCGTGTTATTTTATCTTTTTCTTTTCTTTTTTTTTCCTAATCCCGTTCGGTGAAGATATTTTTATTCTCTCTTATTTGACGCGAATTTCTAAACGGAACTAGACCGGTCGAGATTGCACGTTGTCGTGAATGGGCACGGCAGCGTTCTAGGTAGGACATAAATGGCACACCTGTTACATACATCCAGAGCGATACCGCGTGGGCTCTGGTACGTTAAATTGTGGAGGATCGTTGGTTCTTCCGGTAGTCCATCTTCTGATACGTGCATCTTCATGATCACTCCTTGCAAAGCGTCGCTCCAAAATAGGGTTCGACTCTTTATATCAAAGGCAAGCGCAAGAATGTAACTTTTGCTTTGTTCTACGGATGATAAAGAACATCATTTGTTATATATACTTTCTTTCGAAAGACGAGGTTTATATTTAAATGTAAAGGTACACTTATTTTTCTATTGATTGTATGGTTGAATTTCGAACGTAAGAAATTGTAGTATAAGGTGAAAATTACTTTTTTCTTTTCTAAGTAAAATACAACTTCTCTGGAGATTTAAATAGATAATTTTAAATAGATAACAAAAAGAAGGTAACAGAAGATACATTTGAACCAGTTTGGTTTTATGTATCAGACGTGTTCTAACTTTATTTCTCAATGCATTGAAGTAGCATTGAAAAACTACAAATTTATAATTGTAGAATCTTATATTCAAGGCATTAAGTTAAAAAAAATTCCATGTTATCTTTAATGAATTCATCTAAATGATATTCAGTTCGTTTTTCAAACTAGTACCGTCATCATTTACTTCAACATTGCCTTTTGGTCTTTTATTATTCATGAATTCTCCCTTTGTGACGAATAAAAAACACATGGATGCACCCAAAGGATAAAAGGGCATTTCTTTTGTTCTTTACGGAAAATGGTAGTTTTACATTGTGGGCTGTTTCTTTAAGAACGACTATAATAAATTGAAAGACAAAATCTTGAGTGGTGCCATTATTCTTTCCAAAAGTCTTAGAGATGCGTATCTTTGAAAACCTACCATCATCTTGAGAAAAAAAAGTTTGCTCGGTTTCTAAGCAAATTATTTCTTTGTATATTGATACATTTTATTTATTTAATCTTTCCTAAAGAAGTTTAATAAATAGTCAATTGGAAATTACTAATATATACTATTAATTACTAATTACTAATACATATATGTATATAGGAATAGGATATATATAGGAATATATAGGAAAAAAGAAATAATAATAATGATACAGATAAAAGTAATTATAGAGTAAACGTATAGAAAGATTAATACTAAAATAAATTTCTAATATCATAAGTTCATATCCTACTGAAAATATTTAAAAATACTTTTCTACGAAATGAAAAAGCTATCATTCAAAATAGCTCATGCAATAGATCATGCAATTTGCAGGATTAAGGAATGAATAGTATTTTAAAATTTATATTATCTAATTAAGATTCTTTATTAAAATCCTAATTATCTATATGATTAATGTAAAATATGACAATGATTTCTTTATTCCCACAACGAAACTCTTACTTGGATCGCATTACGTATAAGATAATACATGAATGATAAGTAATCCCGTTATACGTTTCTCTTCCATTATAAATGTAATAATTCGATTTTGCACGAGGCATTTATCATTTTATTCTAAGAACTGTAAATTATTGTCAAATGCTAATTGAATATTTTTTAATACTCTATTATATGCTTTGTACGTTTTTTAGACAACAAAACGAAAGACGTTAAGCTGTTAGTGTAATAAATACAAATTATCTTAATGAATTTTTCTCTGACAAAATATTTCATAAAAAGTGATATTGACATGAATATTTATACTATATGGAAGTTTATCAGCTAAATTGATATTTGAAATGTATCTACTGAATAAGATTAATAATAAATTAATATTTCTTAGTTTCAAAGAAGTTTCAATTCGCTCTTGTTATTCATATTTTGGTCCATTTTGAGTAACATTGGGGTAATTTAAATTTCGCAATTTCTCAATACCAAGTAGGTGCATACGTAAGATAAACTCTATCTATCTTTATACATTACACAAATACAATTGTAATAATATTCAGAAATAAGTTGAAAGTAACTCAGAAGTATATAAAGTAAAACGAAATTTAATGTACTTACTTTTAAGTAACGGTTTCAACGTGAAATTCTTGTCCTCCAGGTCATTACTGAATATGGTTATGTTCTTGTTACTCACATCGCTAAAATACATTGTTCTAGTGATATCATCGTAGGCCACCCCCGATAAAGTCACAGCTTCCGCTAACTTTGCCTGTCCGATTAGCGTTTGATTTTGTGCGAGAAATTCAACTTCACGCCCTATCGCGATCGCTATATCTGCAAATCAAAAAATATCTGAAATTAGTGGAATATTTTCTCAAATTGTTTAAATATTTAAGCAGGTAAATTGCATTTCATTGAAATTGCACTGCAACCATTCAATGAAATTGTCATGTTTAATCAATTATCAATGTATGTATTTAATTATTCATATGCATTCATTATATACATTCCTGTGCGTTTGTCCTATGTAAGGACATAGTGATTATAGTATAGTAATTTAAGTATCATAAGATTTGTGTAAAAATAGAAGATTTATCTATTTTTAATATTTCAAAAGATACGATAATTGTTTCAAAGACAACAATGTACAGTTTCAAGGATGTAAATATCGTAACTCGACAAGATATATTCTATTATATATTCCCTAGAAATTAAAAAAAATCTAACTTTTCAAATGACTGCCTAGAAAATATCTAGAAACTAACATTGTTTATCTGATTTATGGGATACTGTAAATTACTAGAAAAAATATCTGCATATACTCTAAAGTTTTGTTTACTAATCAATTATCATTGATTGTTACCTAGAACTTGAAAATATCGTATAGTGTTAGTTTAAAGATACTTTAGAAAGTTAAGTTTTCTTATCTGCTCATTTTTGTTAATACCATGGCACCTACGATAGCTTTATCGTTATCTTTTGCCTGTTTATAAGGGGTGCAATTATATTTATCTTAATAATTTATGATACACGAGTCATTTGCTACCGACGAAGATAACTATTGAAAAATTAATCCTGGACGGTTTATAGCTTCAACGAATATTAAGCTGTACTACGGAATAGATGTTGCTTGAATTTGCAATTTTTCTGATCACTTAATTCTCGAGAAATATTATCTCTCTAAACTTAATACATTCGTAGTTGTTAATTTTATTTAAATATTAAATTGAGCCGCGCGGTTTTACACTTAAGAAATATTTGAAAAATTTAATTTCAAATATTACGCCATGTCGCTTATGATTACAAATGGAAGTAGACACAAGAAATTTATTTTTTCCTTGAGTCACAGTAACGCGTTAGCTGTCGTTAACGTGTTAATAATTAAAGGGACCACGGCAGAAAAAGAGGAATGGGTTTAACGTTTTTCTGTACGTTCCTGTGCCTGCTCTTTATCACTGGCTATGTCGCCAATTTGAATTACAATTTTCATAGCAGTTATAAGAAATTGAGGTGTACAAGGTATTTTTCATTTTTTGTTTACAGTTTAGTGTATTCCATATTACCAAAAATTATAAACAAAAGTTGAAACCGATGTAGAATAAAATGAAGAATAAAATGTTTCATTTTGATATAATATCTATGAGAAAATATGAAGTTGTGACATTATACATATATTGAAAAATAAATTTATTTTAATAAGTTTTCAGAGAAATGTTAAAACTTGACATTTCTCCTTTTTCTCGTGGACCTGAGCCTTCTAATTATTTCCAATTGTTTCTAACTGTTTAATAACGATCATACAAATCATATATTTACAGTTATTATATAACAATATAATAAAAATTATACAATAAATTATATCTATAATAATTATACAGATATATATAATAAATAATTTTCTATTATAGATTTATATATATAAATTCTTTTCTTGCCTAGTTTGGAAATATCTTTATACTGTTATATCTAGATCAAATAAAGATTAGTACTCGATAACAGTGATAGTAGTAACTTGGGTAAAATATACTTGGATAAATATTGGCGAAAGTATAAATGAATTCGTATAACTAACTCTGCTATGTTCTCTCGGTAATTTCCGATCCGATTACATTTTTCTAACATTAACGCAGTTTGAACAAAATATGGAAAAAGTCTTATGGGTATGCATGATTTCTCGTTTCAATTTTATGTCACGTATCTTCTTAAAATATTACAAATCCTTGTTGTTTGCTAAGACGAGAGCAGAATCGAAGTGTAACAATGCAAAGATCGTAACGGTTAAATTTATTATATCAGGGCGCAAGTTGAGTAGCAATCGTCTCGATTTCACAAACTAAAGATAACGTCCGTGCATCGTACTTATCATTCGTATATTTGCATTAAGATATCGGTTAATTAAGACTTTTTAACCCTGACTCCTGCGACCATGTTCATTTCTCTGAAAATATTATAAATATAACAATTATTTCTTATAATTCCAAACAATTTAAGTTTACGACGAGTCTAACGAAGATAAAGGAAAAACAATAATTACAATTTTTCAAGTATCGAAACTGCAGTTCTGTTGGCCAAAACAATTTAAAACTTATATTAAGCTCTATTAACTTTATCATGCATTCTTATTTGAAAATATGTTAACAATACAAGATATGGACAAAAATTGAACTCGTCGCCTTCGGTATAACGTAGTGTCAATACTCGGTACATATGTATATGTACATATCTGTTTGATAATGTTTATTCAAAAGATCTTCCTCAATTCACGTAATAGCGATCAATCATTTACGCCATTACTCCTCGACATTCGTGTCTCTTTACTATTATACAGTTGTTCTAGAAATTAGTATTACGTCAAGGGAAATTGCAAAATTATCAATTTTGAATATAAATAATATAATACAAAAGATAATATCAGTATGACTCTTTATAATGCTACGTATATTTTGTTTGATTTTATTTTATGTCAACACTATCAACATTTACAAGCAGTAGTTCCTAGATCTTAGATTGAAATAAAAGATTATAATAAATAATAATCTTTTTCTCATAAGTAAACAAAATTGTGTAGTCAAGGCGAATTAATAGTGATATATTATAATTTGAAAAAGCTTGTATTTAAATTTCTATGATACTACAAATGTGTATATATATATATATATATATAGTTGATTATATCGAGGTTATAATTTAACCTACAAATTGGCGGCATCGAATGATGCTCTTCAAGACCGTATATAGAACTTTATTGGAGGATATATAAATTTTCTATACATAAGGAAATATGGAAGGAAAAATACTAAAGTTTAAAGTTCAAAGTTGAGCCAATTTGCTCAGAGCTTAATAAAGTTTGTAATTTTTATCTATTCTCGCATGTGTCAAGTATTTTGTGTAATATATATATAATTCTTTCATCAAGTACACGTGCTTTCAGTTACGCATATGTTTTGTGACGCTGCGCGCGCAACTACTATACATTTAAAAGGCCGCGCCAGAAATTTAATGTAGAAAGTTTGACACTATATCTCGAAGTTAAATGTTTTGTCACAAAACAGTAAAGGAATTTTTTGTTCCTCTTGTTATGTACATTATGTACATTTCAATGTATCGTATGATTCTTTTAATATTATAACTTCAACGTTTCTAATGTTGATAATTAATTATGAATCACCTTTATTGTAAAGTACTATTTAAATATGAAAAAATGCAACTAAAATTAAATGAAATATAACCTAAAGTAAAATATTTAATATTCTAGTAATCTTTCCATTAAAAAAAGAAGAAGATAAGAGAAAGGAAAAAGCAACGTGTCGTTTTGTACAGAAATGTAAGCGTCTGATAAAACTTTAATTTCTGTTACAGAAATTTCCCAATGTCTAAATTTTTATTTGTATATTATTTGCTTTAGATATCGAAAACTCAAAAACACATATCGTAATTATACATTGCGCACCGTATCAGCTCTAATTATAAGTAAGAAAGTAATGCGACAAACTGTCCGGGAAATACAACAAGCGATTAAAACTTATTTAAAAACTTGGTATCGATAAATGAGATCTAAAGTCGAAGATCATTGAATTTTTTCTTCATTGTCAATTGACCTAGCAAAGAGGAAATGGAAGTGCGCAATGCCTTCGAAATATCGAATAAACTGTTGACGTTCTTGCAATACATTTGTGTGCTCGCGCGTACGAATATGTTAAGTAACTTCGACTTGATATCGTAGTAGCAACGTTGACGGAATCATGTACGCATGAACATAGATTTTGTTTATGCAAAAGTAAACAACAAGATGAGAACGTTTACATGTAGTAGTTGTAAGATTTACTATAGTAAATATTGTTTATTAGATACTTTTACTTATATGGCAATAGTTTCTCCGAATTTTAATGTAAATATTTAATTAACGTATTTCAAAGTTTATATTTTTTACATACAATTTTGGCATACAGATGAATAGAAATATATATATTCACGAAATATAAATAGTTGTAAAAAAATATTACGAATGTATATTCGCAAAAATATCATAGCAATATTATTGACTGTTTACCAGTGGCTTTTTCAAATTTTATTCATAAATTTTAATGTGAAAATGGAAAAACTAGAATGATAAATATTGATAATAATATCTTACATAACTTTGACATACATATGTGTAGAAATGTTATAAAAGATAAATATTATAAATGTATATGCACATGCAAAAATGTTATAATAATATATATTTCAAATGTTATAATAATACATATATATATTTATTTAAATTTTTATAAGGAAAAATTTATTCCATTATTTTCAACGGTTCTAAAACATATTTTTAATATATTGTTATAATATTTTTTGCCAAATACATTTCTAACCATTTTTATTTTTCTCATTTATCAATTTTTTACTTTTTATTAAATTAAATAATAATATCACATTTCCTTTTTACCGATTTAATCTATTGTATAATATGAAAACTGATTTATCAAATTAGTGACGCGGTAAAGGTATGCGTAGAAAAGATTGATGATGAAAGTAAAAAATGATATGTAAAGCTAAGTCATCTTTTACTATTATTATTCCCACTTTCGAGTTTTTTTTTCATAAATTATCTCGAGTGTTGCATTTCGCTGTTCCATATACACAACTCGGAACGTTTTACATTGCCTGCTTCACGATCGCGATATGAAAATGTAGCTTATTCAGTTTCACTGCGCTCGAAACGTTCTCGTCATGCTTATTTCTAATAAACACGTACTCGTAAATCTTATTAATGAGATGAAATACGTGTAATAAAAAATGCCACACGTGTTCGTTACACTTGTTGTGTCAACTTATCAAAAGTTTAGATACGATCGAAAACTGATCAACGTATTTTTTATTAAACTAGTCTATTATGCTGTACGGATACACATTTTACATAATCATATACATGGTGTGTAAGAAATAGTAAAGCATTATTCTTTTCTATGTTATCAGTTACGAAAAAGTCACTAACGGAACTACATAGTACCGTAAACACCATATATAACAAGAGATCCTTGAATAAAGGAATAATCAAGTTGAAGATGTTAGCAAAGTGGGAATAAGAAATTAATTCGTCTTGTTTACTTCACAGACTAGTCAAGTTCCAGCATTGCTAATATAGTTTCATTTTAAATATAATACATAGTATCGTAAAAATATAAAAATTACTGTTATACTATATATCGATGCATTGATAAGACAGTCTTGTACAATGTAAACTTTCCATGCGATCGTAGGATTAAACAAACCGATCAATCTTATCAGTTTCGCTTGTTACGTAACCGAAATTTCACACTTCATCGTATACGCATAATTCGGTTCACAGTTTGTATAATACGCGGATCGGTTATTGAGTCTAGTAGTAGGATGCACGGCGTAGTGGGGCAGGTTTTCTAGACGCGCTCGCGAGAACGTACGAGAAATACCAAAGAATTCGAAGAATTTGTGACATCGCCTATCATTCAAAAAATTTTTGTGACATAATTTGCGCGATTACCGGTTATTTTTAGGTTTCCATGCCACATGCTTTTCTTTCGATATTAGTCAAGCACCGAATAGTCAAAGTAGGTGAAATAGGTCCCCGCCAATGCACTTATCGTCATGAATGCATGATTTCAAATTTCGCCGGTAGTCGACAGTTTCTAGCGGCGTTACCAAACCATGGTAATTTAATATGGTTCTCTATTCGTCATTCCATTAGGTTTTCAATAAAACGGCTGTTCATTCGTTACACATCGATTCCCGTGTGTGTGTACAAATATACATTACATACACACTAACTGACTGGAATTCTACTTTCCTAGCTGGCCGTTGCTATCTGTATCAGGTTTTAGGGGTGACTTTGTAAAATGAATCACGTGTTGTATATGTAAAATAAATAAATATATGCAATATTTACACGTGATATGACTCGTACTTAATGGAATAGAGAGGTATTCGTGATTTTTTAGATACATACCTCCCTTGATAACTGGTCATGGAACGAGGCTTTACTCGGTCAGTTAACAAGGCGCATTGCTCTGTACACGGAACATAGTCTACAACTTGACATTCATTACGTAAACAGGTATAAGGACAAGTACCGTTTCGATTGGTTTCCGTGTGAATATGAATCGTGAAAGTTTGGCGAAGAGGTTCGAGACAAATCAAACGTCGGTTTCATTCACCTTTACAACCGTATTTCGATGTTCTGCATGGTAAAACAGTCTGGGAGAAGTGGCGTACGTGACCACTGAAACCGCGTGAATGGAGACAGCGTTCGCGCGACCCGCAACGCGGTGTTACTTATACCGTGTGTACTACGTTAAATTGCTGTTAGTCCAAATTTTCGTCACATAAAATTATTAAACAAATGCTTATTCTACTTACCCCAGGATCTGGCGTGAATGTTAATCGCGAAAATTCCAAGTACTATCGTTAATATAACAGCCAAGTTTTCACGGGATGTCATGATGTGGGTTCATTTGTCAGTCGCCTAGTTAGCCTGGAAATGTCGATAAGACACGGGTGACGAGTATAAATATCACGTAGATACACCGTAGTTCTAAATTCTTTTTGTCTTCTTGAATAGAAGGAGGTGACGAACGACACAGCACATCCTTACTTTACGGCGGCTATGCGCAAACTGAGAACTCGTGACTTCGATATGAAGGTAAAAACGAGGAGACCAGTGGCGTAGCATGTCGCTTCTGCGGACAGGCTTCTCAAATGTCATTAAAAATGCTGTCGCCTTAATTCGAGTAATTAGGCAGCGTTAACGGAAACGTTTAAGCAGATGTTATTATTATGCGTGTTGGACAAGTTATATGTATATTATATTCATTTGCAATCGCAGTTTGTTCAAAATTTTTAACATCTTGTTTTTCGATATTATTTGGAAATATCTTATAGAAATTTTATTTGGTATAGTTTAATAATAGTGTTAGAGTACTTACACATTAAATTTTTGGTTGATGATTAAATTATTTTAAAAAATATATTTCACCGGGAATATAACATAAAACATAACATATCTGTAACAGTATTAGATGGATTTGTACATCCTTTTTGTTAATAAAAATTGTTATTAATTATATAATATCATTTTCTGATGCAATGAGCAACCTGTCCAATTGCAAAGCCAGACTTGTATATCTTATTTATCGCACTTCGTAAAATATTGCATTTAAATTCATTTAACCTTCAACATGAGGGAGATAAATCATAGTAAAGAACTTTCAGTAGTGTTAAGATTGTTAAGTTTATGAAGCTTCGTATTTACGTCAGAAAATAACAGCAAATATTGAAAACTTTTGCATACCATATATATATATATATCTGATATTTATTTATAAGAAATAAAAATTATAATTTTTTCAATTTTTAATTCATAATTCTTTATTTTAATGAGTTTCCTTTTATATAAATCGTACAAACATTCATCTTGTTTTATTGTTTAAAAATAAACAAATTGCATTTTCTTCAAAATTATCGCAATAAATAATATAACGCAAATATATTTTGTAAAATTCTTAGTAGTTGTTTAGTAATTTTTAACATTCAATGTGCATGATTGATTCAAAGAACTAAATTGAATAAAATTAATGAATATCTAATTAAAATTTGCAATATGTACAAAAGATACTAAAGTTACATAAACTTCATTGTTTATTATTTATCTTATATTTTTATCCAAGAAGTGAATACAAAAAGTATACTTCGTTCCTTCTAGAAAAGATTCAATTTTTGCGCGCAAATTTACAGTACCATCTATCGTCACTAGGATAAGACACATATATGTGTACATAATTCAAACTTCACATCCCTATCGAATCTGTTTCGTTTATGACCCACCACCTCGCGGGAACATTCGTTTTTAATTGTATTAAAATCAAATGGAAATAAATTGAATAAATTCAGTACAATGCTCGACATTGAATTGTATTCAACATTTCGCTTGCATCGATCTTATATGAAATAATTAACATTTATTTAATCCCTTGTAATTAATAAACAGTATATTTTCCTGCTAATAATATGCCAACAAGAAAATACAAAATCTGATTGTATAAATACTTTGTAATGCACTAGGATAAAATAGTCTACTCTTATACACAACTGCATTACCATCAATCCGATTCTTTTGTAATATTAAACGATGAATTGTAAAAGAGAACAATGAAGAAAATGGTCGGCATTTATCGACCTATCCCAAACAGTAATTACATATTACCACGCAATGACATGGTAATTTTTAATTTTCCGTCTTCCTCGCGCAACAGTAACTGGCAACAGCCAACCATAGACGGAGAGGTATCACGAACGCCACGACATCATTTGCAGTTGCGCCACCCCGCAATGAAGGTTGTCACGAAGTATAAAAACAGCGTACCCATCGATATGTCCTCTCAGTCGATATCCAAATTGTGGGAAAAAAAGGAATAATCTAATTGATATATATACAACTATAATTCGTTATCAGAAAAATCAACATTTGAAAAGTAGCTTCTTGCTTTCGGATAGTGAAAACACTAGGGGATGAAATAGAAGAGTGTAGATTCGGCGTGGAAAAGCGCGCATGAAGCGGGAAATGTTCTCTGTGGCCCCGAAGCGACGACGCCACGTACTAGATGGTATATTATTGATCAATAAGAGAGGCTAACATGGGTGACCCGTGCCGGCAGAGGCAGCTGTTACTTCCTCCGTATTTTTACGCGACGCGCGTGTACCGCGAGAAACCGATCTTCGGACAGTATCTAAACAAGTTCTCGGCGTTTTCCCTGCGTGTTTGGGACAAAGTGGACTGTGTTCCTGGACAGGAAGTACCGACCGTACGTGAAACGTGCCAGCCTCATACTCCTGTGGAAATACACGAATCGAAGGAGACAGAGGGAGTAACGGAAGAGTAACGGCCAGCCAGGATAGCTGAAGAGGCACAAGATAGGTCGCGGGGGTGAAAGGGGAATAGGGTAGTGGGAGTGAACGGAGAGAGACAGACAGAGAAGGAGCGAACGAGTGGGAGAGCAACGGGAAGAAAGTGCGACAGAAGAGGAATCGCAGAAACAGAGGGAGAAAGAGACGTGTGAGCGACATGTGTCTGTGTTGAGAATTCCATCCACGATAGTACGGCGGCCGAGGGTGCGCCGAGAGAGAAGATCGGTAGCATTCTCCTCTCCTATATCCGATACTTTCTCGTCGCCTACACGGGACTATCGATGCAGACCTTACGGAAGAAAAACAGTCCGTGCAAGTGTGAGTAAAAAAAAAAAAAAAAATAAGAAAAGAAAGGGAGAGAAAAAGAAAATAAAAGCCACCCCCGTAAACGAATTTACGCAAGTTTCTCGTGGATACCACTAAACTCGTGCGGTATTGACGTCGTCCTGTGTATCTGGTGTATACATTGTGATATACGTATCGGCGAGTTATGTGGCCTCTGATAGTCTCAGCCTGTTTCGTGGGATCTTCGACGTTCTCGTAAGAATTACGTTGTGTGATATCACCCTGTAGATCGGTCAAAGGGAGCTTTGGAATATGGCTTCCCTATTCTGTAAGAGGGAGAAAGATGACGGTTGCTCGATTTGGGCCACACAGATTAATTTCGTACATGAATAACGTAGAATGTATTGAATAAATACGTGAACCGCACAGTTCCGAAGGAGCTGATGGAATGCTGGGTGCTTTTGTTGGGGACGACACTGTTAATTTTGTGGTTTTCGCGCGAGCTTTCATTACAGACTTATAATTTACCGACCGTGGTAACGTAGTTTGTTGATTTGTTTGTTTGTACGTGGCACCGCTAACAGATGGCAGCACCACATATTTCGGACACCTCATATTAAGGATTATACTACTTCTGACAATTAGTTCTACGTGGCAACAATTTTGATCCTTCGCTTTAAATTCATTGAGTTTGAACATTCCAGATTCAAAAGATAAGTGAATTGAATTAAACATGTATACTCAGGATATATTTATTTAAAATTTCAATGCGAAATCGAAATATAAGTTGAATGTACATAAAAATAAAGAGATTAGATAAAGATGAGTTACTCTTAAAATGTAACGTGACTTTTATATTTGCTCGTTTTTATCTTTTAGTTAATAATGTTCTGTTCGAGTTAATATAGACATGTCCTATGCATATAAGTAAGAACGGAAATATAATAGATATAGAGTGTAACCGATAAATCACGTTTCCTTAAAGTAAAACTTGTTTTAGATAATTGTGGCTGACAATAGACAAGCTGTGACGTAATGTTTGGAAAAAGGGAATATGTGAAATATTGTCTAGTAAGAGTATCGTACATACAAATACCAATTTAATTAGAGAAAAATGTTATAAATATTACATTGTTAATACATATTATTAAGATTATTGTTCATATAGTATACTATTATGTTAAATTTTGTATTAATATGACTGTAATGACCGTTTATAAGAATTTTTCAAAATTGTTACATAACATTCGAATACATGTAAGTTCTTATACTTTTCAATGCCATGATTTTAGCAAATAAACAATGCTGAGTAACTATGTGCAATATGTGACTAACGAATTTTTCGAGTAAACGTCATCTTAATAACGTATGAGACTTATTAAAAGTTACTTAATAATCTATCTAAGAATTTCGGTAATTAAAATTAACGAAGATTTTGGAGAGTAACTCGGTAATTTTGGAAGTTCTGTGTACACACACACACACACGCACACGCAAAAGCACAGAATTTACTAGAAATTTTAGTTTACGTCCAACATGTTCGCACTTGATGCACATTCTGAATTGTCTGGTGACAACTTAATAGAAGATTGAACGTACTAACTCAAATTATTATTTCTGATCTATGAAGTACTTTACCACTAAAATTACCACGTCAAGCAGTTTCCTGCGATATTTCTGTATCGACAAAACAATCGACGATGTTCTTGTGACACGTAAATCCAAAATATCTTCTTTGTGACGAGAGAAATTAAATTTCTATGGATCTGTTATTGGTTTATTTTAGCGTTCAATTTCGACCATAATTGAATCTCGAAGAATATTATGTACAAAAGTAGAAGTTTGTTTACAGCGTATTAATTATTAGTTAAAGTATTATACCTATCACTTCGAAAACGAAGAAACTTGAAGTTTTGTCATCAGCACTGCGTCATCTTCCGTTTTTCTCATCCAATGAGAACAAGTACAACAACAAGTACAAGCGGAAAGGGGGTGATTCTACGCGAAAAAAGAAGTCGAAAATATAGAATAAAAATTTAAAAATTTTAAAATGTAAAAAATTAAAAAAATAACGTCAATCGAGACAACGATCTACAGTGAGATCCGTTATAACGAGACGCGATAAAGTGCACGCGTACCGAGCGAAAATTCAAAGTCGATTTTCTCGAAAACAAAGCCTCAAACGAAAAATTGTTATTCTATATTTTCGACTTCTTTTTTCGCGTAGAATCACCCCCTTTTCGCTTGTACCTCCAGTTACCAACCACCCTGTATACGCGTACCGAGCGAAAATTCAAAGTCGATTTTCTCGAAAACAAAGCCTCAAACGAAAAATTGTTATTCTATATTTTCGACTTCTTTTTTCGCGTAGAATCACCCCCTTTCCGCTTGTACTTGTTGTTGTACTTGTTCTCATTGGATGAGAAAAACGGAAGATGACGCAGTGCTGATGACAAAACTTCAAGTTTCTTCGTTTTCGAAGTGATAGGTATAATACTTTAACTAATAATTAATACGCTGTACTTGGCTTAGAAAATGAAATACAGGGGAAACTTCATGTAGTTCAACATATCTTGAGAAGCGAAAAAGAAGACTGAAAATTTGAACTAAGGAGAGCAGTTAGTTATTCACAAAGATAGAGAATCGTTCGAGCAGTGGCACAATTTTAATCCGCTATAACTCTGTATAAATTAAAAATTATTCTACCTATGTCTTAAACTATTTCTTGGTCAAAATATTCATCAGGCAATGATTTAGGTTTTATTCTAATATTTGTTTTCTTGTTGTTTTATTTTAATTATCTGTAAAAAATGTCTTTAAAAATTCCTCGTAATGTCTTATAAAAGATCATTCGAATAATAGTTATCACTATATATCCTCTAATTTCTAATTCCACCTCTAGTACTAAATTTATTATAGTAGAATCTGATTAATTAGTATATAAACACAAGAATAAACGTAGCCACTGTAGGTACCTTATCGATTCGTCATTATTCTTTCCACCAATACCATCGCGTAGTATAATTGTCACTGCGGTAGACTAATTAATTAGTATATAAATACAACAATATATACAGCGTACAAATAGTTTTATACCCTTAAGATGCATCTTAACGATCTATGTTATTGCCTCGACCAATACTTTTACTTGCTACGTATCACGTACTACAGTCGTGACAGCGATAAACTAATTAATTAGTATACAAATACGATAATAGATGCAGCGGTGTACAAATATTTTCGTGGTTACCGTATGAGTCTTATCGATCTATGATGCTATTCCTTCGATAAATATTTTCACGTACCATGACGCGGCATAGTTGTGACAGTGATAGACTAATTAATTAGTATACAAATGCCATAGTAGATATAGCGGTGTACAAATATTTTTGTAGTTACCGTGTGCGCCTTATCGATCTACGATGCTACTCGTTCGATCAATATTTTGACGTACTATCACGTAGTATAGTTGTGACAGTGTTAGGCTAAATAGGCAGCGTGCATCGACTAAAACCAAGGACTGGAACGGGATACAAAGGCCGTACAAAGGTGACCGCATTGAGGGGGTGGGAAGGGCATGAATTGGTTATCCGGATAGAAGCTCGAGTATCGACAGTTGGCGTTCTCCACTCGAGTCGCACGAGTACGTTCAAACAAATGCGCCGGTGTGCCTAGTGGCCATTAAAGTCGCGAGGGGTCGTGCAAAGTGTGCGTTAAAGAAGCTGTACGCGTTCATGTTAGAATGGGGTGTGCATGGACATTTCGATAAATTGTCTGTAGAAAGGCAAATCGAGGAGGTACGAGTGGCCAGAGATTAAGACTCGCGAGGGGATGCCTGCTTGATGATTGAAAGAGAGAATTTTCTATATGATGGTCGAGATGACTGTATGGTAGCGATGGTGTATGTTTAATAGCAATTGAAAGCTGCCGAAAGCAGTTGTTTATTCGTTGGTGAAATGATAAAGCGATAGAGAATATATCAGGATATTTGAGAATTTTATGAGATGAGAACGTATCTTATGAAACGAAACGAAGTATCAAAATTTATGAGAACGTTGTCGACTTTGATGTTCTAGTTTCTGAATTTGATCGTTGCTATCGTTCGTAGTCGAAAACATTTTACGTTTTTTCTTTTTTTCTTTTTTGCAGAATAAGATGCATTTTTATATCTCGTTCTTAATACACCACTATCTGAAGGATGTAGTTTGAGACAGATAGAAATAAAACGACAAGTTTCGAGAGCTCTGACATTCAGTTTTATAAAGTAAGATTACTCCACGATTAGAATTGAATCCAATAATTTGATATTTCGAAGCAAAGTGCCGAAATATCAGATAATTTAAAGATCACGACGAAAACGGACGAGAACGCGATTCCTCTCCTTTAATTTTGAATTAATCGTCAACGTTTTATTCTTAAATTCGTCAGCAACTGGCTGTATTATATAGGCATAACGAGATCAATTTTCCAGCGGATAGAGGACGAAGAACCGTGCAACGACTAACAAAGTAACGCGAAATCTGTCGCGGTTGGTGCTCGTTTTAATATCCCTGCGTGCGGTCTGGTTGAAGCCGGGACCAAGTTGAATACCGTACGACGTGATTCTATCGAATTATCGAACTCGAAACAGCGGGGATTCGAAACGATCCGTTGGCAATGGTTTCAAGCCTCTTGAACTTAATATCGATCGACCACACGATCAGTTCGCCCGGCGAAAGCATCAAACGAGAATCCTTTCGAGTATCCTTCGGATAAGCAATTTATTTCTCCTTCCTGTTACTCGCCTCTCCTTTCCTACGAATAATAATTCGATCTTCGAATCTTCGTTCATCAACATCGGTAGATGAAACATTATTTAATAATTGTCGAGTGTGTAGGAAATTGCATAGGGTTGAAACACTGAGTAGTACTACTTGTAATGAGAGGAGCAATTCTACTTTTGCGAATGATTTACGAAATCGTTTAGAAGGAAGTAGCGATTTAGATTCCTTGATGGACTTGTTGGTAATTTACCGATTTAGATTCTCTTCCTACTCTTATCGATATTTATATTAATTAAAACTTTCTTTTCTATTTAATTTAGGATCGTTCGAAACGCTATTACTACTTATAGAGGGATAAGTATTTTCACTTTCGAAAATAAGCGAAAGCTTGTGGATTTTTCATTGGACGAATGAAGCTCTTATATAAGTTGTCCCTTTTTCTCTATCGAAATTTACAAACTCGTTTCAATATTTCCTCTTTCATCGAGGTTAAAGTTCAAATATGGAATAGGTATTATTAGTATTTTTACCTTTCGGAGGAAGTATTTCTGTTTTCAGGGAAATAATTAGTTAAATCTATTGCAAGCAATATTTTTCAACGGATGAATAAATAACGCTCTTACGATTGAATTCTTTCTCCTTATGGAAATTTTATTCAATGGAACTTTTTCATTTACTCGGCTTGGAGTTGAAATACCGAGTATTACTACTTATTATTCGAAAAATATTCCTGCTTGTTATTCGAGAAATAGTTCCACTCTTTTAAATCGTAGCAGAGATTTATTACGAACGCTGTCCAATTTTCTTTCTTCGTTTCTTAATTGGAAAAAACATTTATTTGTTGAAACGATATAAATAATGTTGTTTGTGCTTGTTTCGCAGTCAAGAACGAACCAACCCGATTTCTTGGGGAGGGTGTGTCGTTCAAGGCGAAGCTGATTGGCATATTGGAAGTATCGGAAGCACGCGGGGACCGGATGTGCCAAGCAGCTTTGGCGGATCTGAAGATGGCGATTCGAGCTGCCGGTGAACACAAACAACGAATCGCCGTTCAGGTCAGCATCGATGGATTACGCTTGCGGGACGAGAAGTCTGGGGTAATGACTCTCAAAAATGACAACCATAACAAATTTCATAATAAAATAAATATCCGATAACAAATGATAAAAGTAAAATATTAATTTTTTAGAGAGAAATATTCGTCAAGGATTACATTTTTCAAAGATTGAATATCACATTTTTTTTTTTTTTTTAAGTAACCAAATCTTTTAGCAGTGTTTTATTCAATTAAAATAAAATATTTTTTTAGTTACTTTTGTGTATATGTACATAAAATGGATAGTTTTTTACATGATCAAAATTTGTTTGTTCCAGGACTGTCTGTATCACCATCCTGTACATAAGATATCTTTCATCGCACAGGACATGAGCGATTCGAGGGCCTTTGGATATATTTTTGGGTCACCAGACACGGGTCATCGTTTCTTTGGCATCAAGACAGATAAAGCAGCAAGTCAAGTAAGTTTTGCACAGTTTTCATGGATTGCATCTTATCCTCTATCGCGCTAATCAGAAAAATTATGAGATCTAAATATCGATCGTAAAAAGTTGATTTTGCTATTCCTCGTTCGCTCGTTGGTAAGATCAATAGATTGTAATTTGTGTATAATTTTTATCTTAATTTAATGTTTGAATAATAACTTTTATAAATGAAGTATAATAAGAGAATGGGAAACAGATAAAATAAAATTTAGAAAAAGTGACAATTTGGTGTATTACTCTTAAATCGTACTATCTCTTAAATGGTTAATTTCACGAAATTTATGAATTTTTACACGTACGATTAATCACTATAAGTTCCTATCACGTTATAAACGTATTTTAATGCTACATTTCCTACTAGATTTTATAATTAGCAATATTATATTCATATCTCTCCTACAAGCAGAATTACAATTTTATTCTACTTATATCCTAATACCTTTGAAATATTTGCACTAATTATCTGCTAATGTGCCTTATCGATTACTTTATCAATGAGTAATATGAAATTACTCGACTAGAAACAGTTAACTTTATGTAGCCAATTAAAATGAAATTAATCAACAATTTTCTACGATCATTAAATTCGCTCTCCGGGAATCCTCAATTGCCGAGTTCAATCTACTAAGAACAACGATGACTAAACGCTAACGTCTACGCTACGATAATTCGCGTTATACCTCACACAACGCACGTTCGTCGAAAGTTTAAAAAATTAACAATAATTAGCGAGCCACAGTCGACATAAAGAAACCGTTTAGTCTGTGTGATCGATAAAAAGCGAGAGGCGATGAACGCAAGAACAGCCCGGTATTATATCGTCACCGGCACGGATATTGCCTTTGAGAAACAACAAAAGAACAAGGTTGGTACGCGTTGATTCGATAGGAGAGCCGTTCGTGCGCGAGTACGATCCTTAAACGTGGGTCTACAACCGTGTCATTTATCGTGAACGATTCGCTTTGCCGAGGCAAGGGGATCTAAAATGATATTTGTCCAATCCGGAGAAGCAATATCGACCTCGGTAGCTCCGGTAATTCCGCAGGGGTATGTAAATAATTGCATTATAGGATTCAGTCTGCCGCCCTAACGATACACCGCGGGAGATTGTTGTTCGATTATACGCGATTCCCTTCGTACTCGTTCAAAGAGATTGCAATTTCTTCGTGGCCCTCGTCTCTCTCTCTCTGTCTTTTTTTTCATTTTTCCTCTTTTCTCTATTCCATTTTGCAATACGCCTCTTTTCACGCAGCTGGATGGGGATATATTTTTAAAATTTAATAGATATACAGGGTGGTTGGTAACTGGTGGTACAAGCGGAAAGGGGGGTGGTTCTACGCGAAAAAAGAAGTCGAGAATATAGAATAAAAATTTTTCTTTTTAATTTCTTTTTTAATTTTTCGCGCGTACCGAGCGAACATTCAAAGTCGATTTTCTCGAAAACAAAGCCTCAAACGAAAAATTGTTATTCTTTTTTCGCGTAGAATCACCCCCTTTCCGCTTGTACCCTCAGTTACCAACCACCCTGTATTTTTGAAACAGAGGAAAGATTCAAAGGACAAGGCTGAATAGTACTATTGGGTTGGCAACTAAGTGATTGCGGATTTTGTCATTAGGTGGTAACGATAAAATCCGCAATCACTTAGTTGCCAACTCAATATATGAGCGATTCACAGGTCAACTCTACTCACTGAAATTGATGCTTGTATTACATGCGATATGAATTGATGTCTACACAATCACATCAATTTCCTCCATTTCTGCTTTGCGCAGCAAACCGATTTGACAGATACGTGTATTAACACTGGAACGATTAGGATAGTTAGAAAAAAAGAAGGAAGAGGAAACTTCAATTGCATTAATGGAATTTTTGGGAATTTGAATGATTTTTTTGAAAGCACATGGATGAAAGTATATTTGTTTGAATTGGGTATCTTTACACGTACCTTTCATTTGCATCTCTTTGATAGAAGTTCCATTACTTACTTTGGTCGTCGGTAGTTCTGGCGTTATTTTCTTATATTTACAAGCTTAGCCGTACCATCCCCAAGGATTTTAATAAGAGCGTTCAGAAGGTCTTTCACTATACTTCAAACATTTCTACGCTCGAATCTCAATGTTATTTGAAACGTCACTGTGGTTTCCCGATATTTCCAACAAGATGCGATTTTCTTTCGTGAACACCGTGAGTGTTCTTCATTCTTTAATAAGCAAGAGCCCGTGGAATTCCATTATCTTCCCATTTTTTACATTTCGTAGAAGAATTAATTTTTAATTGGCCTACAACGAAAATAGCAAAAGCTTTCGATGGATATCGCTACAAGTAGTATACGCAGCTTCGCCTATTTTACTTGATTTTACGTAGGAAAAGGTCAAAGCAGTAGTTTAATTACGTATATTTTAGTGTTTAAAATATCGTGCTCGTAGTAATATTACTAGAACATTGCATGACGTTTACACGAAATTTCACCGATTAGAATGTTTTGCAATTAAACGGGTTAAAGGTTATCGATAGATGTAAGAGAGCGAGAGAGAGAGAGAGAGGATGTGGCTGACCAAGTGTCTAGACTGTAAGAGAGAGGAACACGTAATAGAAGGGGAATAGGCCATAAGTGACTGCGGACCGTACATAGTCAGGCGCGTTTAGTATATCGGTAGAATACAGGACGTAACTCTCAACTGTCCATTATTTGGGAGCGTGTTTGAATCGGAAGGTATTTCTAAAGTAATAAGAATTTGCGTTTGACATTTTTATATCGTATCTCTGTTTTAGTTTTCGGTTGAAGTAAAATTGTTTGCTTTTATTAGCAAACTTTTGTACCTGGTTATATTAATGAAATACTTCAAGTTCCTGCATTGTAAAAGCATTTTTACTTAAAAATTTTATTGCAGGTGGTAATCGCGATGCGAGACTTGTTTCAAGTGGTGTTCGAGTTAAAAAAGAAGGAGATCGAGCTAACGAAGCAGCACTTAGAGCAGAACGCTATAAACGTTATTAAATTTCATACCACTGGCATCTTTGTCGAACCTACCCCTGACACTAAAGTAATTGTCATTTCCTTTTTAACTATATTTGTATTTCCACGGTCTTTTCTTTTAACAGTCGCTAGTTTTAAATGTTTAATTTATTATTTAATTTATTATATTTTAATTGAATTTATTATACGGTGATGTGCGAAAGTTTCGGGCCACTTCCTTGCTTATGTATATTTCGAGTATCTAAATAAGCTATAACCAATATTTGGTATAGCAAACGAACAGGATAACAAATTAATATCGTTATGCTGTTATATAATATAAAAGTTGTGTATAGTATATGATTATATTCTGATGCTAAAGTTAAAATTCTTTAAAATGTCACTTTTGAAATATAAAGTGAAAAACTGATCTGGCTGGAAATTTATGCACCCCACTTTGTAACATGTAAAATATACAATTTTAGAACAACTTCATTATTAAATATTTAATATTGTTAAATCGTTTTGTGACAGGGTGCAGCAGGATCAGAGTCCTCTCTTCTTCGGGTAAGGAATGCTAATTCGGAGGCGGATAAGTCAACTGATAAACGAAACGAGCCTCAAAGTGGCGTTATTAGGGATTTATTAGATATACAATTCGAATTGGACTCTCTGCAGCAAGGTATCCATCACATGGACAAAATTACTCCTGAAAATCCACCACCTTCCGCTGACGATCTCTTTGAAACCGATCCATTCGGTGATTCTTTCGCGAATATGAAGGTATGTAAAAAATTAGTCAGCTTTAATATCTAGAATGCTCTTATTTTTTAGATTATTTCGTTAAAATAATATGTTTTGTTTAAAACATTCTTTGTGTACTTTTGTAGCTCGAAGATACTGTACGAGCAATTCTACCACCACCACCATCATCCTCTAAAAGAGGCCACCTAGAGCGACAACAAACGGTTCCAGGCACCCAATCGTCGATCACGTCGAGTCCAGCGACCACTCTGACTAGCAAGACCCCTCCACTTCAAAGTACAATTCAGTGGTTCGACAAAGAAACCGAGAATCTCTTTAGTGACAGTGAGCTCACCAGCTCGGCTAAAAATACGCCGGTTAAAAAGGAAGTGGAAGAGGTAAATATTTATTATATATACATTAATATTATAGTGGTCTTAGAGAGAATAAATTATTTCGAATATTTTAACTCGGACTGTAAATAATATAATTATTGTGTAAGTTCTCTAAGTTAAAACTGTTCATTTTTTGAAAACATTAAGGAGACAGGTTGCTCTATTATTATATGATCGGTCACAATTATCGATTTTGATTCATGAAGTCTTTCCAAACTGTCTATCAACTCTCTGTCATTTTATTTAAGTTTTTAATTAAATACTTTGTATTTGATAATTGTTACAGACCCAAGCCAAGAGCCCACAAATAGACGTGTTCACGGAGTTGGACCCACTAGGAACCGGTTTAATAAAACCTTACGTAGACAAGAAGGACTTCTTCCAGCACCTGAAGAATCCTCCCAAGAAAGTGTTAAAAGATTTAGTGTCTACTAATTCGGCAGACACGTTCCCAACGAACTTTAACGTTCTCTCAGAACCCATAGAGTCAGTGAAACCACGAAACGACATAGTTCCCAAAGAAAATCAATTCGAGGACACAAACTTTGCGAATTTCGATCGATTCGACGAAAACGAGGCGATTCAATCAGTTTTCACGCGCAGTGATTCGTCCAGAAAATCGGATATGACGCCTAGAACGACTCATCATCAACCTCTTTCTGTGTCTTTGCCTCCTGAAGACTCTTCTACCTCGAAATCCTCTGCAATCTCGACTATTCCCACTTCCGTAGGCGTTTCTCTGCTCGGTAGAATAGACAAAGACTCCACAGAATCTACGCATGGCTTGGTAAAGCTTCCCAGTCCCATAAAAACTACGCGCCAGAAAGAATTTGATATTGATATCACCGGCAGCAAAGTACCATCTGTGGACAAACCGTTCCCAGTAGATTTCTCGACAGTCAGCGATTCACCAGCATCTCCACTAAAGTCTTGTCCCTCCGATGCCAATTCCAGACTATCCACTTCGTCCGCGGAACTGGAACTCGTACCTGAACCTCCTCCTCGAGGAATCGCTAACATTTTAATCAACCCTCCTCCTCTGCCACCGAAGAAGCAGGGCGTCAGGGGTGTTGTAAAGCCTCCTCCAAGGCCGCCGCACACAGATACATATTTCCACTACGATTTCCCTGAAAGGGAGCCCGTGGCGACAAGCGACAGGAATATGAGTCCGTCGAGGGACGCGAAGAGTCAGTCAGATGACAATTTCAGTCCGCCCGTTCAGTTGTCTAGCAAATCGGATTTGATAAGCGTGATGACCACGTCGGCGTTCGAGGACTCGTTTAGTTCTATGGTACCCACCACGAATTTGTCCTCGTTTTTCACTTCCACTTCCAGTTCGACGACTGGACCCAAAAAGACGAAACCTTCGTTGGATATCACTCTAAGCCAATTAACGTCTGCCAATTTAGATGAATTGGCGAGCAGTTTAGGGATGACTGTAAAGGAGTTGACTAGTCTAACTCTTCAGCAGTTGACTGAGTGCTTGGCCACTCTCTCAGCCAAGGAAGCTGCTGCCAGCGATAGCGAGGAACCAGTTCCTATAAAGCAAGAGCAAGTCAGTGCTGTGCAAGCACAACCCGTATCTAGCATGGTGCAACCGAAGCCGTTCAACGAGCCACAGCTTTTTACTAAAACGAACATCGACCAGGAGACCAAGCAGGATGCTACTTACGATAAGTACGCTGTTTTTAGAGAACTGTTAGAGCTGGAACAGATGGAGAAGAACGAAGAGAACGTCATGAAAGAATTCGCGGAGGAAGAGGAAGTGACGAAAGAGGAGTTTGAATTAGTTAGTCAGCATCAAGAAACTAGCGAAGAGATCAGATCAGAAACTTTGGCTACTCTGGTGAATCTAACGGTGAAACTTCCGCCTAGTAACGAGGATCTGACTAAGGAAGAACAAATTGAGGCAAAGTCTGAAGACACGACTGAACTTTCTTCGAGTTTGACATTTGAAAAGATTCAGTCAATTGAACTAGAAAGTAAAACAGAACCAGTGACAGAGCCTGAAGTACCGACAGATTTATTGACGAAACAAGAAGAAGAGGAATCTGACAAAACGAAAGCTATAATCGACATTGAGGAGAGAACAGAAGAACCCGAGCCTATTGACAAACCTAGCGAATCCAACGAGGATTCTGATAAACCAGAAACAAAAGAAACAACTACAGAAGAGGGTAATGGGCCCTTGGTTGAAGTAAATAAAGTTGAGGTAAAGTCTTCTGTATCTATTTCCAGCGACAAATACGCGGCTTTACGTGAGATTATAGGCGAACCAGAACCACCAGTCAAACAACTTGACGAAGACACACCGAATTCCACTAGAATGTCACCTGTGATTCAATTATCGACCCAGCAAAAGACTTCAGCCGAAGTGGAGTTGCTAAATCTATTTTCTGACACGCCCCCACCTTCCAGTCCTAAAAAGCAGTCTAAAAATGAAGAAGACTCGAGTTCTATGGGGATGGATATTTTTGAAGAGATTAAAATGTTAAGCAGCAGTGGACACGCACCAAAAACCAAGTCTCTAATTCCTGAAGACATCTTCTGCCCATTTACAGAATTAAAACCAGAAAGAGACGAAAGTAAAGACGATAGCAGCTGGACGAAGTTCGATACAGGTCTCTTCGTTTCAGATAGACCCCCTTCTGACTGTCCTCCTTCGATTAGTAGAACTTCGCCGTGGTCTCCTGATGGAAAAGAGTTCCAGAGAGAAGCGTCTTTCAAAGGAAGCATGTACCAACAATCAGGCGACAGTGATAATGAGTGGAAAGACGAGGAAGAGAGCGAAGAGAGCAATGGAAGGGTACGAGATGGCAGATTTAGATGTAGCCACTATCCAAGATTCGATGCTCCTTTCGGCGATAGGAGCTTCTACGAGGAAACAGGTGGTCCGGGGGGCAAACGAGACAGAGGCTTCCGGGATAAGATGATGGAGAAGCCTCGCGATTCTGCGTGGATCAAAAATTCTGGACACAGGCCTCGTGACTCTTCTCCGTGGCACGATGAGAGTCAATGGGAGAAAGAGCCCAAGCATTATCCTCATAGAAAGATGCAGTATAAGGACGAAGAAGAACACTATGAGGGTCATTGGAAATGCAGATCGAAGCCTCAACGTTGGAATTGGCCACACGAGCATGGACCCTTTTATGACGAGGAAAGAAAAAGGAAAATGATGCTGTGGAAGGAAGATAGGTTTGGCAGCCAAGAAAGTATGGGATACGACGATGACGATAGGTGGTCCAGAAGGAAATATGAGAGAAGACGATGGGATGAGGATGCCAGATTTTGGAGTAGGAGATCAACGGGTCCACCAGATTCTGACTATCCTAGTAGAGAAAGCTACTATTACTATAGAGAAAGCAGGGAACGACCACACGATTATCCTTCAGCTTGGAACGAAGACTATGGCTCCGATAGACCAGGAGACGATTCCCCAAGGTATAATCAATCAGGTAGAAAGCGACACTGGCCGAAGAGGCCAAATAGTGCAAACGAGGGACGCAATACTGACATGGTCTACCCTGAATCCCGAGGAAAATTCGGCACCTCCAGGTCCGAGTGCAATGATAATGACTCTGATCCATATGTAAGATCTTCGCAACGTTCCAGGAGTCGTCAAAGTTATTGGGGTAGCGATCAGGAGTATGACAGCTGGGCGGATAGACCTTATTGGTCCGAGGAACTAGATACCAAGAGTGAGAGTCTTCATCGAAAGAGAATACCCAGGCACAAACCTCGCCAGCCTCACACAAAGACCCAAAGTCCATTTGAGGATGATTTTGCCCAAACTGTAGAACACGTGGACCCCACTACCGTGGAATCTCTGGCTACAGCGGAGCCACGAATTCGTTCTGAAGGCAGTGAACGGAAACCATCACCACAGAGTCCTTCGTTTACGACGAGGTATCCGAAGGCTCCCAGGAGAGCGATGGGTATGGACGAGGTCTACAGCAAAAGATCTAGTTACTTCGAAGATGATTTACCCTTCGCGGCTACTGGCATGGGCGATTCGCCCGATAGACAAAGGCTTCCTTCTGACCAAAAAGCCAAAACGCCTGAAGAACTTCCTTGTGAATCCAAAGATGCTCATCAGACGACTGATGATTTTGTATCAGGGGACGGCAGCCGTGATTCTTTCTTCAATGGGCACTTGAGATACGACGACGATGCGTTCGCTTTTAAGTCAGAAATGGAAGACAACGTCTCTGAACATAGAGCGACCACTTTACCTTTGAAGAATCATGGTCGACAAGGAAAGTACTCTGCTGGAAGTAATAATAATAATAATAACAATAAGTCGAGGAACGATCAGCATATTAGGAAGTCAGAATCGGTGAATATATTTGTCAGGGAGAACGATCCGTTCGGGGATGACGATTTCTTCGATTGATGGGTCGTTAGAGAGGTGTTTTACCTTAATAAGCACGGTGCTGGACATTTCGATGAGGTTTCATGCGTCAGTTCCGGGTTTTCGGAGATGGTGCCGGGGTGATTCGACGAGGTGCGTTTACTTTATCTGTACAAGAACGTACCGGGCTTTGAGCTGTCATTGCTCTATTTAGTCCTCGAGTTAGAGGTGGACTGTTATCGCGTACCATCTATGTTTTTTTTTTCGGTTGGGTTTAGACTATCATGGAGGCAGTAAGCGTTGGTTGATGAAGATTATTAAGCGATAATAGGACTTAAATATGGCGTTCCGTTGTTTAAAATTGTGGAAAGCTTAGTAAAGGTTGAATTCGAGTACTCGTTAGTAAATGATTTTTGCATTTACCTTTTTTCATTTTTTGGATATTTATATCTTAGAAAGATTAAGAGAAAATTATTTTAGGTTTCAATTGAGAAATTTTTTGTAACTCTAATCGATTGTAGATGATAATAGGGATCACGTGTGTTAGTCAATGACATTGAATAAATTCTACTCTATTTATTAATTTCTAATCCCATACTAAAAAGAAGTGCCGGATCAAGAGATGACCCAGCTAGCAACTTAACATGATACCTCTTTTTCTTTATTGCATCAACAATAAAACATACATTCATACAAAAATAAAAAATACATTCCAAGTAAAAATATTTCTATCACGTCGTATCCATCCAGAAAGTTTCTAAATGCGTATAAAGAAAATTTATTTCTTAGAATTCCAAAATCGTATCCTTCGACTTTGAAGTTCAAATTCGTTTGAAAATTAATATATTGAAAAGTTATTTTTAAACGATTAATACTTATTGCCTCCATTATAGCTGACAATATGTTGTTTAGTTGAGATTTATTATTATATAGTGCGAATGTGAACTAGAAATGATTGAAAGTGACATAAACGCGTTCTTTTATGGTTGATCCACTATTAGGTCCATCGGTGAAGAGGATTCGTCTTAACGTATCGATAGCGAGATATCGATGGGGTACGAGCAACGTACCGATTGCTAGTCATTGTTTTAATAAATTTGTACATAATGTTATATCGGCGTTAGCGCGAAATTGATTCGTCGATCGGGGTCTGTATATGTGCGGTACAGTTTGTATGGCCAATTGTTCGCCGTAATCTTGACGCGTGCTTTCAATTCCTGATCATCGGTCCATAGAGTGTAATTATGCTTAGGTTCGAAGTAAAGTGGGATGCTCCGTAAAGTTTATGTTAAACGTTAATTTACAATATTTTTATTTAGTCGACGTGAAATTATGCATTTTCAGATATTCCATGATCGAATGGTAATTTTCATCGTAGATGACTCACGACAGTCTCAGTTAGTTTACTTCATTTTTATACAGTGTTTTATCTTAATTTGTATTCTGCATTTGAAGTGATATCAAGTCTATCACATGATAAAATACATAATTTTAACAATGAAACAGAGACTGCTGTGATTCAATGACGTTTATGAGACTGACGTTTATAATGATTAATAATTTGATCGTAAGACGAATATTAATATCTTAATAAGACGGGAATTGAACGTTTTTTGGACAAAGACTATCATCTCGTTTTGCCTGCCAGCGAAATTATATTAATCCTGTTAATCGAATTTGCGTCACGTTTAATGAAAGAATTAGGCAACCAAGCTTTTCTTCGTTTCATGAGTTAATTAATTTTTTTATGCTGGTAAATGAAACATTCTGTTTTATTTATATTTTTATAAAATCTTCCAAAATTTTCTTATGAGCATTCCACTTTTTTTACAACTGATTGTGATATTCAATCACGTTTTTGTTTTGTTCGTTTCATACGATCACGATGCTAGTCATGTCCGAGTGAGTTAGGGTTATTATATAGAGATATAGGCTTGATCGTCAATAGTTATTGCAATTGAAATGGTTAGACATCTTTCAATTTGTATTTTGTTCTTTTGCATTTCTCATTAAAGCAAAATTTAACTAATTATTTTGGTTCACGCACTTTCATGCTCTGTACTCGAAACTTTTTTTGCTATAGCGAATTAGTAATTACATCCTTTTCGATACAAGTAAAACAAAAGACATTTTTATTAAATTCTAAGAATATGTTTCAATATTATTCGTGTATATATTTTATTTACCTGTATTCCAATGTTATTAATAATTTATCTGAACATTTTATTTATACTTTTATACATTTTACAAAGTATCCATGTTCAAAGAAACTATATGTTCTATAATTAATGGCTATAATGAAATTTATAATAATATTTTCGTGAATTACATTCGTTTTTGGGTTACATCATTTCAAAACTATAAAAATATTGAAAGACATTTTCAGAAAATATCGAAGTAATTTTTCGAAAAAAATGTCTAACAATTTCAGATGCAATAGCTTCAACAATGAACGCCTGAGAGGATCTCATTCGATAGTTAGATTGTTCGGAACGTTGGAGAATGAAAATGTGACTTTTATACGTTTTTTGACTGGAACGATCATCGTTCGTAGGTCGAATCGATACCTTATTAAGGACAAAGTAGATTCGATGATCGATTGTCGATCGAAGACGAAAAAATGGGGAAAAAGGAGAAAAGACGAAATGAAGAAAATCTCCGTCAGTCTAGATAGTTTACAATTGCAATTTATTTACGACATATAGAATCAATCTTAAATGATCTTTTATTTATTGTTTATTTGCAATAGAAAAATTGTATATGTAATTTTATATTTTATATTTATTTCGGTTATTTATACGTAGATAGATGTTGATCATTTATGGTGTATGCATTTAACGCTTGAAACGACGAATTATTCATTATTTATTTAATTTATTAATGGAACCTTGGATCTGTTTAAGGATATAAATTATAGTCAGAGTTTTACTGACAATAATATAGCTTGCATGCAATTCCACTCACCGAATATGAAACGATGAATCTCTGTTTGATCATTTGTCTACCTCGTGAAGAATTCAAACGTGAAAAGATGACAAATTTATTTTAATTTACACAAATATGTTTATCGATATAACGATGCTTATTAAAATGAATGGGACAAATTGTGTGAACTTGTAATTAAAAGTGTAACATGCATATTGCAATTAACCAAAGCTAAAGATTTTTTTACGTAGCATTCGCAACGTTATTCGCTTTATTAAAGCAAACGGAGAACCGTCAGTGGCAATAATTGTGTTAATGCGTAGATTGTAATAACGTGATTTTGAATTTTGAATTATAACGCGGCTTAATTGAATGAAAAAACAAAAAAAAAATTAATGTTCGACGTTATTAACTATTAACCCTTGTGTGAGTAACCGGGTAGTCATTTTTATAATTCTTTAAATAAATTTCCACGTTCTTATGAAGATATCACAAAATATCATTATTATTCGAAATAGACTTTCAAAAAAATGTTGCTTATATATTTCTATATAAGTCTAACACTTTTTGTTTGAAGAATTATAGAAATTTGTAAAATTTTTATTTTATTGAATCGACGTAAAATTGATAAAAGATCTCTTAAATATCAAAGCTTCGAATCTATTTCTACACTTGTGCTAAACATAAGCGCTATTAACGAAGAATTACTTTACCAAATTTTCATTCGTAAATCATCTTAGTTGCGATCTATCTTACATGGACATTCGAGTATTCTGAGTTATTGGACAAGCGTGTATTACAAGCAGACCACGAATGTTTATGCGAATTTATATTTCTATGAACGTAACTAAAGAAACGAAATCCAGGTGGAAATTTCTTTCACACTTAGAATATCACAATAAATACTTCGAATATAACACGGTCTACTTGTAAGTTTAATGCTTTGGCTACTCTTTTGTAAATTTAATTAGTTTGTTTCAAAAACGAAAATCGAAGCAACGTCTAAATAATAAATTTTTGGATTAATTTCTTGATACTTCTATGAGAACATACGGTATCCTGTTGTAAGGAAAATGTAGGAATGAATGCCTGATAAATCACACAAGGATTAAAAGACGAGAAAAGGAGAGAAACCACTGTAAAACACAAGGAATATATACCTCCAATGTGTTGCATTGCACGCAACTTCACCACTAACATCGTTTCAATTACCATGAAATTTCTACACCCACGAGAATAAGAATTCGTACTTTCTTCGATAATAATAGTAACATCTGTGCAATATATCACGAACACTGAAAACGCTATTCAGGGATTTTAGCTAACAAAGTACTTAAGCAAATATGTAAAACCTTTTTGCACGGTGAAAAGGTATGAATGATTTGCTACGAGGAAAAAGACTACGATTTTACATGAACGTAGTTAATACATTATACAAGATAACATTTAAAATGAAAGACAAGGAAGAAGGGAAAAAATTTACGACGAAGATAAAACTATACCAAACGCTTGATTTTTACGATAAGAGAAGAATTATTTGAAACTTGTAATTGAATAGAGCAAGTGAGTATATATATATATATATGTATATATATATATATACACACACACACACACACACACACACATATATTTCTGTCTGGACGTGTAAGTGATTAGCGAAAACGGAAAGTTCCATAAGCAGGACGAAGGACACGAATAATAAGCGTAAATAGTGTAACAATTATGAAATGCAAAGAAAGGGGAATAAGAAACTAATTTGACGACGTTTAGAACACAGTACTCCGCATCGCTATAATAAAATACGATAATACATTGGTGACTTTATGTATGCGCTATTAATCGTGGGATATTGTCATGTTTTTAATACGACCAGATATCGCGATGACGATTTATTCCGTGCATTATTGTCAGTCTCCCGGTGAACACGAGTCGCAGTACCACACTAAAACGAACGGAACCGTTCGAATAAATTTTCACTTTAAAAATGTTGGAACAGAATAAATTTCTTTTGGAAGAAACCTACTATGACTCTTTGATCGTTTGCATGCGACACATTCGTATTCCATCTTCGTTTCTGGGAAGGCTAGTTCTAGTAAGTATAGTTTCGTGCTATTATTTTATTTGTTTTTTTTTTTTGGTGATTTGTGAATTATTTCCTGACGTTATTTTTATCAAGTGATGTAAAATTTCTTGATAGCGTGGTATGTATAAATTATGTCAGAAAAATGATCGATAAAATAATTTTGAATCGGTATACGTATACGTATAGGCAATCTTTGTATTTAGATGCACAGTGAATATTAAATTTTTCTAGCGATAACGATAACGGTAATGAAATTTAAGATGTCATTTTTATTATCTTCTTATTGTATGAGAAATTATGTTTTGAAATTTACGAGGTATATTTTATCTTTCCTTTTTATACATGAAATTATATTGAACTAATGCAAAACGTGTATTAAATCAACTTCGATTTCTTAAATCCCATAGTATATTACAGAAAAACGTTTCGCAAAAATATATGAAATTAATAAACAGCGGAACGATATCCTACCAATTCTTGTAGAAATACGATTGAGAATATACGCTGAAGAGAAACACGAAAAAAGGGGAGAAATTCTAGCATTTTTTATGTTCACTATTAACGTTCAATTTAAACTAAAATAGAATTCTCGATCGAAATGAAATTTTTGATTCACTGAAAGATCTCGACTACTCGTAAAATCTCTATGAAACTACCACCCCGTCTGTCGTTACAGCGTTAAAATAACTAAAATCAAAACTCAGGACGATGAAACAAGAGAACATTAAAAAACAACGATTTGTTGGCGAGTTAAATCGATACCGGTGGACTCGTGCCATCGTAAACACTGTAAAAACCTGCAGGATCTCGAAGACCTCCAC